CTCTCTCTCTCTCTCTCTCTCTCTCTCTCTCTCTCTCTCTCACAACCATATATAGTCGACCGTATACTATATAAACTCTCATCAAATACAGTGAAAGGTACCCAAACTGGCTATCCACCATCCGAACTTATCATCAGATGGTGGAGACAAGAAGTTGTTCCATTGTAAAACAAGATAGGCTTAAAAACAGGGTACAAAGACTCACCTCCATTGGGGCCAGTGAACATTCTTGCCAATCCATGTGCCATTTTTTTTTTTTTAAAGAAAGTTGACTTTGTCAATCAATATACAAGTTGATGGGTGATCGGGGGAGGCGAGGGGAGGGGCGGCTTCTTTCATAGATAGAAATTTGATGAAAAGTAGTTTCATCTAGTAGCTCCACGTTTTTGGTGAAACAGGCCTTGAAAGGATTTCAGTTCCCTAACCTAATCAATGTACCATTTATTATTGTGATTCCCACTCACCGGAGAACAAGAATGAAGACATGGCCCTAGTTTCAGAAACTCCAATGAGATGTTAATCCCCAACTATCATGAGTACAATTTTGAAAGAATAAAATCATAGCACATTCAAGGATACAAGTACGAATAACAAGATATTATTGACATATTAAAGAAAGATGACATGTTGTGGGTAGTTTGAAAGAAATTTATGGAGGAGCCAGAGTCGGGACATGAGGAATAATTTGCTCGATAAAAACACAAGTTCTTTTCATAAGGTTAGCTCACTCTAGTTTGGATACTAAAATCCATTGCCTCCCCATTCCACACAAAAATGTAAAACTTAACAAATAAATAAATAAGATGATTCTATCGATTTCATTTTCAACCGAAAGCTCAAAATAAATGTTAGTTTCTAAGACACACTTATTGAGGAAGAGCGTTCAGAAATATTCTAAGTGAACTGCTTGGGCTTTGTTGATAATGCTTCATCGCTGAGGCAGTAGCCCCATAACATGGAACCAATCTAGAATTAACCGTTCACCACTAAAACCTTACCTATTGAAGGGTGACTTCAAATAATATATTATTACTACTTTTTCAAACAAAAAAATAAAAAGGATTAGGTAATTCCATTTTAACAAAAGGAAAATGGATTATGAAGTTACAATAGGGGACGTTATGAAGGAAAACACAAATTCAAGGATTTTGCAAAAAATGGTACCGGCTGGTCACATAATATCAGCAATTCTACGCAGCTGTGCAGAAATCAGGGAGTCATTTTGGAGCAAAATATCACACAAAACTTTTGACTTTCAATTAAGAAATCATGGGCAATCCATGACTCCAAAGAAAGCCAGCAGTTACTCGGGCAAATTTCTCATCTTCCCTACACCAATATGTCATCAATCTACAAGCCAATTCACAACACTACAGCTAATAAACGCTAACAAGAGCATCAAAATCCCTAAATTCAAGTCACTCGATAGTACATCATTCATGATACAATTATCAAAACAAGAAAACAAGAAAAAAAATGCACAATCAGACAAAACAAACATCAAAACACATGAATCAAAAGAAGAAGAAGAAGACTGAAATAGGGTTAAAGGTGCAAACCTCACACTGGCGCGCATTGCTATGATCAAGCCACTGTAGTAGGCATTCTTGGTGCACAAACTTGATGCTTCCACTGCATGCGCAAGGATACCGAAGGGGATTCTCAGCATCGCCCGGGTTTCTACAGATCCTGCAAACATCGTCTTCTTCATCTTCCTCCTCTTCATTATGTCTCCTGTTCGAGTCATTTGAAGCTTCCATGGCCCGGAAGCTCTCTGGCATGCGCTCCCTCCTCGCTTCCTCTTCCTGGGCCGATGCAATCTCCATCTCCGCTTCTCTCTATCTCCTCAGCAACCCAGGAGGACCCTGCCCCAACCCTCTGCAACTCGCCCCAAAATTCCTTTATATGGGCAGAGAGATACAGAGGAATTTAATTAGAGAGAGAGTCAAAGAACTCGAGAGAGAGGTTGAGGGGGGAGAAGCTTGGGGAGAGAGCGAGGGTAAACGGCGGGCGCACGGGACGACGAGACCCCGTCGCTGCATTTTTAGCTGTTATTATTATTTGTATAGAAACGAGGATCTATACGATCAAAATAAAGCAATAAATATACTAGAAAAGTTTGTCATAGCTTTAAAATATATTTTTATATTTAATTATAAAATTTTTAATATCGGAAATATTGGTGATAGTTTTAAAATATATTTTTATATTTAATTACAAAGCTTCAAAAATTATTATTATTATTTTAAATATATGCCAGTGTGGGGAAGAGGTGCAATTTTATGGTGTCGAGGACCTAAATAATCAAAATAAAGCATACATTCAAGTAGTATCGAAAAATATGGTTTCAATGTTGAAAATATTTGTGACAGCTTTAAAATATATTTTTATTTTTAATTATGAAATTTAAAGCTTCAAAATTAATGTAGATCAAACCGGTATATAAAAACTTAAAAATCTTGAAAATTAGCAATCCAAAAATATATTACAAGATGCACTATTTCCAAAACTGAAAATCTTTTTTTTTTTTTATGTCCATGCATCTTAATGTCGAGATGATAAATTTGAAATAAAAATAACATCTTCTAATGAAATTTTTGAGATAGGCTTTAATTTAACTGTTTAGAGCCTCGGCTCTATATGATCTTTTTCTTCCATTCGAAATTTCCACTTGCCTTCTCCATGCGCGTTGAAGCCTACCCAGTAGAAGCCGCCAACGCCAAACAAACCAAGGCGGCTGTACTATTCACGCCCTTTCCTAAAATAGCTGGTTGGAAGGACTTTTTGTATGAGAAATTTTGGGATACAAAGCATACTAGTATTCTGAAATCTCAAATAAAAATTTTGGATTTTGATTTCTAACTATTTAGTTCCGAGCATCAAATCTTGTGACCTTTTACTTTTAATACAAAGAGGTCACAATTGTTCTTGTCTCCTAGATTTCAAATCAGGTGGTTGGGATTGTGTCATTGATTAGAATCAAAGTTCAAACAAAAAATTCTCGAATCTACAAAGAAACTATTTCTCTTTTGCACATAGAGGTCATAATCATTCACGTTCATTAGATGTTATATTGGATGGCTTAGGGTGAGTCATGACGTCTGAAAGAAAAATTTTCGGAAGTTTGTGTTTATTTAAATGACACTCTTACAACGACCCAATTTAAAATTTAAGGGATAACGATGATTGTAACCTCCATGTAAATGGTCTCTTTGTAAACAATTCCCATTGTGATATATCATAAGCCATCCAATATGACATCAAATAATTAGTAGCAAATGTAACTTCTTTACTATAAAATAAAATAGTCGTATTGTATACAATCCCTTTATTTTTTATGAAAAGTACTTTTTTAGTGAGATTGAAAAGCTACTACCATCTCAAATTTTGAAACGTAGTAGCTCTTTAAATGGAGCACGGGAAGCACTTGTGCATCAAGGAAAGGCCATGGTAAAAGCCTTTCACATGGAATGTATTTTCACACGTTCATAAGCATCAACCAAACATGTATGACATCATTTTCATCAAGTATTTACATGTGAACCAAACATATCCTAAGATGGATTTTGTAGGGGGGACTCATTCATGAAAGTAAAAAGCTTATATAAGGTTGCATCCTTATACCCTAAAAGTAAGGTGAACCAAAACTTGGAGAACATTCCAATTGATCAACTCGAGTTCAAGATGTATAGTATAAAAGGAAAAAAACAATTTTAAGTCCTAAAAATAATTCATTTCACAACAAGTATCTAAACCTCTACTTTCAAGATATTTGAAATGTTTATATATTTGCTTAATTTGCACCATTTTTTAAATTTTAAATTTCATGATTAGGATTAAACATGTATTTTCAAGCCGTTTATAACATCAAAACTACATCTTCTGGCAAATTTTAGAGGTGCACCTACACATATGGTATAAATTGGGCACCTTACACAAACCATACTACTAATCAAAATCTTATCTTAAAATAAATAGCAAAGCAATATTCTTCAACTAAAAAGCTGGCATGGTACCATATTTGCATGAAAAATTGAAAGTCATACTGAGTCCCCATTTTCATGTTATTCTTCAACTCTCCTATTGAACTATGAAAAAATATCTTGTTTTCCGATGCCAAAAGATATCCTACTGCCAATCGCGTACAATGTTTATCTACTCCTATGCATAAAATTCCACCTAGAATTAATTTTAGGACACTAAATTTTAAGGATATAGTTTATTCAATCAATAGATTAAACTCAATAAAAAATTTCCTAATTGTACCTTATATACACGAGAAACTAATATCTTGATATTGAATAGAAATTATCTAATTTTTAGATGGCGAGATTTAAGTATTAGAAATTGTGTGAAGACTTAAACTTTCCCAAACCTGGGTAAAGGAGGTAGGTTGTGTTAGGTAAGCTGCCAACGTAAAACTTTGTCAAAATTTTCATGAATCATGAATCAATGCTATTTGGAGGGTATGGTTCTTGATGGACCAGAATAGCATATCAGGATTCATATAACCGACTCTAAATAGTTGAAAAAATGCTATAATGGTGATGCTGACCTAAAATTTGTTTATTTTTAGAATAATCATCCATTCTTAAGTGGTTCCCAAAACTTCAGATTGACTATGGGTAAGCCATGCTCCCGAGAGAGAAGAATATACGTGCTCTTCTCTAAGTTTTTTTTTTTTTTTGGGGGAGTCAGTGGGGAGGGGGCCCTACCCTTATTAGTAGAATCATGCCTAGGACGTAGCATTGCAAATCGTGAGACACGACTTAAGTCCAACACTTTTCCTAAAACTAGTAAATTAGCGAGGATTTGAACCCCCCTTCTGAATGGAGTTCGATACCTCATTATAGGGCGCCGCAATACTACCGTCAAGGGCCCAATGCATTCTCGAAGTTGATACTATTGAATGGCATTATCACGCTTGCTTCCTTCGCGATGGGTGGCTTTTTAGTTTTTACTACTACCCAATGCATTTTTGGGCTACTTAAATTTGGGACCTGTTTGATAACTGGAAGCAAGTTCAAGAACTGTAAGTTGGAAGTTCCTAAAGAACGGCAAATTAAAACTTACTTAAGAAGTTCAGGGTTTCTATTTGATAACCTCCCTGGGAAGTTAAGAAGTTCATAGTTTATGTGTTTGATAACTCCTGGGATATATGGTAAATATCTTATATTTATATTTACATTGATAATAATATAAATATAAATAAATAATAGTTATAACTTACTATAATATATGATATACTATATTTTATATTTATTTTTAATATATATATATATGAAAATATCTTATATTACATAATATATAATTTATAAATTTATATTTTATATAATATATATAACATGGTATAATATTTAATATAGTGTATTTTACATTTATTTTATTATATAATATATAATATATATTATATAATAAAATATATTTCATTACATAAATTTATAATATATATAACATAATAATATAATTTTTATTTATTTTATTATTATATATTTACATAAAATTTTATAGTATATAAATATATTATATAAATATATATTACATAAATATATATTACATAAATATATATTACATAAATATATAATATATAAATATATATTTTATATAATATATATATCATAGTATAATATATAATATAGTGTATTTTATATTTATTTTATTAT